CATGTAGATAAGTATATCTTAAATTAATAAAGTATGCAAATTATTAGCAAAATTTGGCATTTATTTCTGTTGCAAAATCCATCCTTTTACCACCAAAATCTCCATCGCATCGTTCTCGAGCACGCAAGGCACCCAAAGTGAACGCGTCAACGCTTTCTGGTTGCGCATTATCTCGGGAACTCTGTGTTGTTGGTTGCTATTAACGGTCTCGAAAATGAACCATAATTTATGGATCCCGTCGAAAGCGTGTTTTCAGAACGTAAACGTTCCCATGCTACGCGTTATATTCGACACGGATAAAAACAATTCATCGCCATGTGTACAAGTACGCATACTAATCCGAAGGCACTTGCTAAAATTGCGCGCAAGTCTCGAAAGAAGTATGAAAGGAGATGAAATCTTTAAAAGACTTAACGACGCGCCAGCTTATTTCATCGAAACGATTATCGTCTCGCTGAAATTAATTTTAAACCTTGATTGATCCATCCAGTATCGAGTTCTCCTATTTATTAATACAATTTGCGTTGTATTCGTTTTGAAATTTCACTTTGCACAGATGTGATCGAAAAATTCATTAAAAAATGAATTGTCTGGTTCACGCGACCGATTTTCTGATATTTTCTTTTACTACCGAATTATCCTTCCTTTGTTACTTTAATTGCGATACAACGACTAGTGTCTCCCAAAGCCCAGATAAACTCTGGACATGAGTAAAGCATGGTAGCTGGCCTTTTTATTTGCCGTACAGCTTTGAACTCTCCTAACAATTCGTTTTAATAGGCTCCACGATCGCACACGACGTCTATTATTCAAGGGCATTTATTAGATCCTTACTGCGCGTGTTCCCTCGGGTCCAAGTCGAATCTATTCTTTCAACGACGTCTGTTCCCATTAATTTATATGTGTAAGTACACGATGATATAGTTTCACGACATTTCGAGATTGTGAATTACATAGATGTAATGAGCTGTTCAATTGATATGAAAGACTGGAGCCAAGTGTAATGTAGTGGCGTCACCTGAAATAAAACATGAGTTCAAGTAAATTCAAGTTTGTAAAAATAGAATATACTGTGAAGTAAAGATGATTAGGCGAGGTTCAACGAATTTCTATTCCAGGCATAGGCCTATCCTTGTACTTCCACGGTCTGCCAGAAGTAATCCGAACGATTCTTTATTCGAAATATTATTATCATCGAGGAAACAAGTAATTTCCTGCAGCCATTAAATTAAATATTACCCTGCGCGTTATAAATGACCCTTGCCGAGGGCTCAACGTGTAATTTAAATCACTGACATAGGCGAAACCGTTATTAACCCTTTAAGGACGGGTGGCAGGATATGCTGGACAACATAGAATCACACGGTGACAAAACATGTACTTTATTAATTTAAGACGTACTAATCTACGTGGCAATTTTCCTCAAGAAGAGGTACAGAGACCCCTGCAAATAAAAATACACAAAAATAGTGTGAAGGGTGGTTGAATAAACACGAAGCTCGAGAAATGGAGTCTCGTCCGCGAAACGTCCTTTCCCAGGCCATCGCGCAAAGTAGGGTTCACCTTTCACGCGTTTCAACACCCAAGCCAAAGAAACACGTCGCCCCTCCCCCGAGCAAGAGGCGCCGTAAACGAGTCGGAGTCTCAAACGGCTAAAAAAGACACGAAGGGTTTTTTTTTAAAGGGTTTAAAAATACACACACGGTTCGTGATTCACCTGAGACTCGAACACAATGGGTCCCCGTTCCTCGGGGAATAGTGCGTGGCGCGCGCGTCTCCTTTGTTTATTTTCGTGCACATGCACCTTGCTGACCCTCTTACCTTGACCGTGGCGCAACTGAATCCCCCTCGATGACTCCATAGGCGTAACTTCAAAGCGAACAGTCTCGGCCCAAGCCGTTTCCCACCTCCGCCGACGCGGTTAGGAAAAGGGAAACTTTTCCTTCGCTCGCGATCGGCATCCGGGATACGGTCGCCGGTCGGCCTTAGACCGGCGTAAAAATCTTTATTAAAGTACTGGTGGATCCTTTGCCTGCGGGGACTTCAAGGTGGACTCGAAATTAAAGGAGGTATCGCTGGGTAATCAATTCGTGCGCGCAGCCGGACGAGAACCGGACCTAAAGTGACGCACGTGGAAAGTTTCATCGGTGTTTTTCAGTCGCTAGTGAAAAATTGGAATAAGCAACCTGTGCTCGATGTAAACGAGCCTTGAACCGCGCGATTCATGTTACTCACTGTTTCTCAACGTGATGGATGATTGACACCTTACACTATCGATCATTAACCCATTGACTGCGAGGTGATTTTTGCTGGAAAATCTAAGAGCCGTAGATGTGTGAATTTTAAAACAATATCAGCTTATAGTTTCAGAGATAAACATCGAAAACTTAGAATAAGTTTCTGGATTCCATCCAACGCCATTGTTCGCCATTCTTCGTTTCAGCTTGGCATCTTTCGTTTCAGTTGGGGAAATATCCTCGCTATCTGCGAAATCCTCGTTTCGAAAATAGGAACAGCGTGACTTGAACGTGTTGACGTTGAAAATTAAAGTGACCACGGCGTGGCAAAGCCCACGATCATTAATGACAGAGTCATCAGCGGGTAACCAACAAATTTACGACTGTTTACACGTTAAACTGACGCTGCTCAACGGAGAATAGCGGCAATAAAAGCGTGTATTTTAGTTGGCTGGGATCAAACGAACGCCATTTAATTGAGCCATTCGTTACGGGAAAGTTTATGGTTCATTTCGAGACGAGCGAAACGAAAAATTTCCGCAAAATTCGGTGGATCTAATGGCGCCGATACTTTCCGAAACGTCGAACGTTTTCTTTTTGCGTCGCCCGCTTTTTCCACGCGATTCGATTCGTATCGAATGGTCTAGCTATCGCGTGAGAGAATTCATTGATTCGATAGCACGGATAAATGTATCAACAGACCGTTTCCTCGATCGATTAATACTGTCCGGTAGGAAAGTACTGTGCCCTGTCAATTGAAACGATCTCTTTTCTTATTTTATTATTTTTTATATGATCCAAACCCAAGTTTAGTAACGTACTAAAAATGTCGAGCTAATGTTTTTTGAGAGGGCACGGTGCAGGTGTGCAGTATTCAGCGGATAATGGAAAATTCTCGGCACTCGTTCCTGAAGAGTGTGCGAAAGACGGGGGTAAAAGTAAGGGAAAATAGATCAAGTCTTTCCTCTTCCGTGCCTTGCGTGTACCTTTGACCGTAAAAGAGTGTTATATCGGAAATTCAGCACCTTTCCGATAGAAGAGATAAAGGGAAAGAACTCGAGTGTCATTCTTCGCTGCCAACTCCCCGCCCTCTTCGGAATATCTCCCGCCATCGCTCGATTCGGCACGTTTCTCCATATCATAAAATGTGTAAACTTGTTCCATTCTCTCAAGTATTCCGCTATACGTGACGAACCGTTGCGCTTTTAATTTTATTAGATTTATATTTCAGTTATTTGAAATGAAAACGAAAGAAATTTCTGAGATCTGAAAGAGTGAAAGTAAAGGTGAATACTTTCGTTACGAGTAACGACACATTTGCGACTTCATTACTTTCGAATGAAGAATACAAATTTTAATCGCTGGAAGTTGTTGTTCTTCTCCACGAATAATTAACTAATTAATTGGGGAAACTTCAATGACAATATAACGAATACAAAGTTGTCGTCCATATGAGCGATTTGTATCTCATGTTGGAGCGGAAGTGGGTCGTATCACAAGCACGATTGCACGAGGTGATTATGTTTCCCTGCGAGAAAACAGACGCGAAAAACATTTATTACTTCGACTGTAAAATTTCCGTACGCTTTACGGACGGGTTAAAAAAAACCAGACATCATAAATGATCATCTTTTTTTATCGATTATAAGTGCCTACTAGCATTGGCCCGCAAGTTGTACACTATAAAATAAAGTAGCTGTATAATAAATCTACAATCTCTTATATTTTTTATCTTTAAAGCGAATAAAATCTATCCTTCTATTTTCCAATTTTTCGACTGCAGTTGCGAATAATTATCCGAAATGACAACCGATTGATATTTCAAGTAAAATGTAAAAAAAAAACTTTATGCTTGCCGTATAATTTGCAAATTGTAAACGTCTTTTTAGATGCGGATGATTTAATCGCGCTATATTGAATTCTACTCGAACATATTATTACTCACTCGAATAATTATTTAACAATTTTCACTTCACGATCGATAAGTGTCACTTCGCACTGCAACAGGTCCACTCATTTCTTTAAACGATCGATAAAGTCTGCCTCGTGAGATATTCATACTCATACATAATTCAGAATTGCGCCACTAACGCCGCGTATACCTCGATACAGACGCATAATTACTGCGTAAACCTGTATAAATCTGCATAACAAGAACAACAATTTAATCGTGCTGTTAAATACAAATGAAAGAAATTATAAATAATCGTTAGAGCGAGCGTGAACTTTCCCTTCTTTGCATGACACGTCTGAAGACATTAATGGTTTCGTTACAAGGGCATTTAAATCATTCCCAGCAGTGGTGCCATAATTTATCGATACGAATACGCGAATGTCGGCCGTGTCATATTTTCAATTAGAATTAATATAGCCGGCGAGCTCCGAGGCAGCAGCATTATTTTAAAGTCAGCAAGTCTATAAAGTAGTTGAATAATTCGAACAATACAGACCGAGGCATTTAAATGGGTCACACCTGAATATTTCTGTTGTTAATGGTTGCGTGGCTGTTGGCAACACCTTAGGGCAATGATCTTCCATTCTAAGGGGCATACGTAACGATAGGAAAAAATTTGTCTTCGATGCCCCAAGAGTGGGAAAGATAGACCAACGATGACGAAGATGACGCTAACAAGCACAACTTACGCGACCTTAACAAACCTAATATTATCACAACAATACTAAACACGTCTACGTGCGTAATATATTTTTGTTACTTCGTTTCAATTTACTATCACTAACGATCTTGTGTTACTTCAATTTAAGGACATACCTAACAAGAGGAATCTACCGTCCAAACGAGCGCTTACTGAATGGCCCACCCTGTATATGCTGAGGACTACATGTGAACAGAGTGCAGAACATTAGGGGTTTCTGGTGAGTACTTAATAACTTTTGGTTTCTTTCAAATTACTTTTTGTTTTCCTTACTCTTTTCTTCGTGGGAGATAAGATGCATTAAAGTATCAAAGTTGTTCATCTCGACGCTAACAAAGTTTGTGCCTCTCAATAATGAAATATCACTCCTGTGGTGCAACCAAATGTGCATTCAAAATCGAAGTTTAAATGCCAACATTGTTTCACCAATCTAATATTCGTAGTATCTTTCGATAGATGTCTCGTAAACAGATACGAAACGTGACTGTGCGGCACTTATCATATTAAAAAATAATCTTAAAGTCTACGTACAGTGTAACCTGAAGAGGTTACGAAGATAACTCCTTCGTGAAACCTTTTTGAAACTTGTGCTTTCGTAGGAACCATTCCCATTTTTTCGATAGAGATAACCGAACCCTATTGGTTCTTTCGTAGTATAAGTTGGGTCCACCAGAGTGCCCCCCGAGTCGTCACCGTCGATTTCCGTAATTCACGCGCGAATGACCGCGCGTGTCCCATTAACGCCGGGAGCGTTTGAAAAAAGACCGTAGAAACAGCGTTTCGCAACGCTCCCTTTTGCCCCACCTCCCTGTGTTCTTGCAGTTTTTGTTCCCTTCCGGAGTGCACGCGCGAGGGTTCACGCGTGGAACGCTTTATTGGCTACGTTTATGGCAGCCGCATCGAAATGAATCGGTAGCGGCTAGGGTTGCCATCCCTGAATCGCGGGAAAAGAGTTGGTCTATCAGATAAACAATAATATTGGGTTGGAACAAAAGTTCGTGGAGGTTTTCAAGCGAAGTTCGTAGACAAGTTTCATATATTTATATTTATTGTTTTAGTAAACTACGGGGCGCTATTCTGTCCCAGGATCCTTCGCCATTTTGTAGCGTCGATTCACTTGGGTAATCCTAACAGCGACCCTGAATCGCGGCGCATCAGCGTTACTTCATTCGCTGACCCTGAGTTAGGGTTGCTTTCGTAATAGTGGCAACGAGAAATTCACTCGGAATTCATTATGTACGCGGGAACTGTTAGCGTTAATTAGGACCGTTAAATTCCTTACACGCCGAGTGTTAACCTAGTAACTGCGTCGGGCGAACATATCGGCGCCATTTATAGGTATCCTTTTTTTTCCTGTCACGCGCTAATGCATATCGATGCAAATCTGGAGGCTTAATCTCCCTTTTTGTTCGCATTGAAAAAATTACTTTTCAATAGCGTGCTCGAGCAGCAAGACTATCGTTCGAACTCGAAAGCCAATCTTATCTCTTTCACTATTAAAATTGCCAATCGTGCTATAAAAGAGTCGATCTACTTTAATTTGTGGTTCAACTTGATCACAGTGGTGATACTAATTGAACAGAAAATTTTATATATTTGTCAATAGAAATTATAAATCGTTATGCCTTGTCCTAGTTTGTAGAATCACCTTGCACATTCAAGGATATTTTACGCTTCTATCTTTATCAGTCTGTGCATAAGAAATTAGCGAATAACAAACAGTAAATAATTCATTAATGGGTAGTTGCGATTATTATCGTGTTATAATGCACGATGTAGGGACACTTGTCCCATTAGAAGTCGCAGCTGATAGAGGTTTTCGAGTAGGTGGTCGCGTTTACGATATTCCTTGGCCCAAGATAACCCGAACGAGGTGTGCCATTAAAGCCAATTTGTATGTATTAGAGCAATTATCGCGAGACCATTTACATCCACGAACACATGGAACTCTCGCCACTAACCATCCCGTTAATTAAGAGATACCGCAATAATTATCAACAACCCGAGCAACGTTTCCTAAGTGCTTACTCATGCTTTTCTCTTGTGCATCGCTACTCCATTTTCACGGAGGTTATGTTACTGCTCCATTCGACAATTTTTATCTTTATTGACGCTTTATACTAATTCTCTAAGGAAACTAATCGTACAGTTTAAAAATTATACTCTCAAATTCTCATATTCTATTTTTGTTTACAGACACCTAATTGTACTATTACAGTTCCGAAACAACTGTATCAAGCCTAGTTACGTCTCTAAAATTGTCCTCTGTTTACGGATCTAATGGTACTGTTATAATTCTAAAATTCTAGTTGTTCGCGACGCTAATGGTACTGTTACAACTCGAAAATCCTCTTATTCTAAACACGCAGGCCATTCTACAGTACCGTGACCTTAACAACTCTTTCTTGTTAGCTGAAACACATACTCCGCTTCACAATGACTCTTAGTGCCATTTCTAGCGCCTCTTGTTTCTGCATCCAAAATGAACGAGGAAGAACGATGTTTCACTGTCGATTTTGGAAAATCGAAATTTCTAACGTCGTTTTCTTTTTTAATTTTTGTTGCTCATCTTGAAAACTTTATTATTCTTTATCGTTTTATCACTCAGCTTACATAAAGTACGCAGCCTAAGAATACGATGACGCAATAACGCGATTATCAATGTATTATTTTGCAGGCTAATAAGTAGCAATTACTGATCGGTATTTTTGATTTTGAAAATTATAGCTATTATTTATTATCATTCAAATTACAATCGAAGGAAATTGATATCATGCTTATTATCACTAGCGTGTTTTTTAATTAAGCTCCAGTTTTCAATTATCTAAGCCTGTGACATAATCGATGGGTATGCGGGTACCAACCGTGTCGCTGTAGCGCGACACGTTGCGACCAAATGTTGTCTCATGCGTATAAAATAGCGCAAAAATTTTCCAATCGTACCACGTGCCCACGGAATGGGATTTCACAGACCGACGAAGGAGCGCGAAGTATCTGCGGCGCCTGAATTCAATCCTTCCGAGACGAATTCTTTTGAATCAATTTTTTACGGTCACTTTCTGAATTCTTCGATGCACTGGGCACGTGATGCTGACAAAGAAGAGCGAAATGGCGCAAAACGTTTCAAGACGTCGTAAAAGAAATTACTGCAATAATTAATATTGACCTTCGAAGTGGAATAATGATGGCGTTGTTATTTTTCAGTTGTAATTATGGCTACTGGTTAATAATTGGAATATGAAGTTACTTATTTCTTTTTTGAACGCTATAACGATCGAAGCAAAAATTAGAAGATTTCAAAATCTATTTTAAAAACAATTTCGATAGATTTAACAGTATTAAATTTAACATAAATCAGTAATATGGGAATCTCGGATTTTCCTACAGATTCGAGGCAGAAGAAAGCGTTAATAGCGTCGGTGAGCCGTCGAATTGCGAGAGACTCGACGTCGAAGTCTATCAGAGCGTGTCTGAAGGAGTTGCATTAATTTTTCATCGATTCCAGTTTGCTGCTGTCATTAAATACTGCTCAACAGGGTCGGATCTATCATTATTTTGAATAATACAGGGTGTTATAGCACGAATATACACAGCTTCGCTCGACTACCATACCATAAACAATTTTTACAAAATTCATGTTAACTCTAAACTAACCGCTTCACAAAATTAACGAATAGTACTTAAAATAGGGTGATTAATAAGTCGGGAATCGGCTGCATTCTCCGTGCAATTACTTTCATTCGTTACAAGTTCCTGTTTTAGAAGTAGCGACCGTAAAATGTTGACAAATTTTCGATCATGGAAGTTTATTTAAGACTGTATAGTGCATTGACTGACAAGTTGAGATTTTACAGTACCATTCCCTTAAAAATTTCCTTTGAAAAAGTTAGAGGTAACCAATACAGTAAAAAGGTTATCTTCTAATGGCTGTTAGACTTCCCAATATGGTTCTTATTAATCATAAAAGAAATATTTTTAAATTGTTAAGATATTTAAAAAAAAAAGAAGGCGAAAGGTAAATGAAATGGTAGAAAAATGGCTATGTCAGGATTCGTCGACGGCACTTCGTGTACCTGACAAGTATTTACATAATTCTCTTTTCCTGTTCCGGTAAACGAACGGGAACGAGTTTTTGTCACGCGATTGACCAAGTCGTCAGTGGCATACACCGTTGTCCAAAAGTTGGAAGCAACATCTGACATAAATATAATATTTTTAAATTGTTGCTCCAACAGATATTCAATTTGAAATAAAATGTTCTACATCGTGGTTTCTTGAGAAAGAGCAATTTGTCAAATTTTGTTGTAATGAATATTATAATAATCGATGTCCTAATATGAAACAATGTAACTTGACAGATACAAGTTCATCCATAAATTTAATTTCTAAAGAGATAAAATTCCGCTCCAATCTTTTGAACAACGTTGTATGGATATCGGAAGAAAGCAATTTGTCGAGTTACTTTTGCGTGAATTTCATCGAACTACCAACACGCAAGAAAATTTTCTCAGCTTCGACTTTTTAATCCTTTCTTTTCCTCAAATTATTTAAATTTTCCTCCGAGTATCTTTTCGAAAAATCGATGAATGAATAATCGAGGTAGCCAGTTTTACACGTCAATGTCTCTTATTTGCACTTGTCGTCGCTCGCTTTCACATAAACGAATTACGGCGACGCATCGATGCGAATTACTTTTGATCGATTCCGTTTCTTCGATCAGACAGTTCGCAGGAATACACGCTCCAAAGTCGAACGACCATTTACGTGTGTAACAAACGTTGTTGCTTTACGACGTCAGGTGCTGACAGATTAATTAGTTTACATAAAACTTCGCCGATGGCACCAAAGCGAGACAGTTGGTCCCAAGGTCCTCCACACGCTGTTACACGCGATAGCAATAAATATTACTTAATGTTGCGTGCTACAAAGAAAACGGGGAATTCTTAAAGCCAATATTTCTACGCCGTTTAGTTCGTAGACGTAAGAAAAACGCACACTCGGGACGTCCATCGTTGCTTAACGCGTGGAACGGTAATCCTAGTAATTGCGTAATGTAATATTCATTGTTCGAATAGTGCGTATAACTTTCGCAGTACTACTGAATTGCTCGAATTAATTCGTTGCAGATTTCTAATTGCCGTTGAAACTGAAACAGAAAGAAAGGATTTATTTTTTATCAATTCGAAGACTGATCTGTAAAGAGGACAAACACATTTTTTA